GTACGCGCATACCTTTAAAACAACCTGTTGACTGACACACTGTTCCATTGCAGAAGTGGAAATATTTGGAGAATGCATGAAAATAAAAAAATTATGTTGAAAAGCTAATAAAATGGTCAACAGTCACAACCACGCAACATTTGCATGTAGTAATAACAATTGACTCAACATCATATCAAACAATCTCAAAATCCTCTGCACTCTTCATGTTTACAACTCATTAGACAAAACATTGGGAGGATAACACTTTATCTTGCTATATTTAAATCTCAGAAAACAGAAGGAAACAGCTAGATTCTGGGACATCAATCCACACAGCGACTTCAATAAAAATGTATGTAACATCTGTAGAGATTATTTGTGAATATCTGGTTTTTGTGAAAACATTAAACCACGTCAAAGTAAGTAAAATACACATGGAAGTATTTTGGCTGATCTCTGAGTAGATACTTGGGTTTTAGGAATGAGATTTGGGTTGAAAATTATTAAACAAGGAATGAAATGAGGCAAGAAATCACTTGTAAAATAAATCATTTAAAGGAGTCTGTGCTCGTTTCATCAATGGGGAGGAAGCAAATGGACAATAAAGACAGCTACAATAGGAACACTGGTAAAACGTGAGAAATTCGGGTACTCCTGCTACTTCTCTTATAACAAGGTCGTCATTAAAACACTGCTCTTCACCAATAAAATTAAGAGTTAAGTATGAAACGTGGAGTTTCCATAAAATTTAAAACTGTATAGATTTTTTCCATCCAGCTATATAGTATAAATATAAACTATGACATGATTTCAAGTGAAATAACAATTGATACATCTCGGTCACATGGACCGAACTTTAACATCAAACTGCTCCCTGCCATGCGCTCCTTAACTCAAAGCAATCAAAACTTCAATCAAACGCAAAGTAACCAAAACATTATTTAAACAACGAACACGTTGACAAATGTGAGTACTTTTCAACATTCCGTTCTTGTTTGTAGAGCATTCATTTAACGACTGCCTGCTACCGACGCGGCGTACGTGACTCCCATGTCCCTCTCCCCTTCACCTCAAAACACACACGCTCGTGATAATGGTACGTGTAGCTATTAAAGCTGTAAGTTACCAGTGTAATATTCACAAGACCCCAGACGAAACATTCAAAGAAGATGTTTTGCACAGCGAACAGCTTCCCCGAAATGTCAGATTTACCTGCAGGCCCTCGGGCGGTAGGACACAATCCTCCCCGAGTACACAGGAGAGGACCCGGGGGAACAAGGCAGGGGATAGTAGCTCATCTGGCAGCGCATGGCTCCTCTGAGGCAGCAGCGTTTTAGAAAAGGTGCTCCTCTGTCGGGATTTAAGGAATATGAGCTCCAGTAGGGAGGCGTGTCGTCGGAAGGGGGCGGGATCAAACGCACAGAGGTTTATTTAGAGCAGTGACCCGACGCATGCGTAGTATGAGATTCAGCTTGTGAAACTTTGTTTTACGATCTGCCAGGCTTTCTCCATTTACGACTCTAGGATCAGAGCTTTAGGGGTGGACACTTCTCATACACATGATACATCCAGACTTTTGTTGGTTATAAATTAGTTTAGGAACGGTTTCAAGAGAGTCATGGAGCATGGTCTTTTTGTGTTCAAATTGTGCAGGTTCGGAGCTTTAACTTGGTGCACTGCATTAAATAAAGTATGAAACAATATTTAAGAAATCAAGAAAAAGATAATTATTCTGTGATCAGTAATAAATACAAACTTTAAAAATAAACAATGAATCTGACCGAAATCCAAATTTCACGTTCATTTAATAATAAAAACCTTTAGGATTTGGTGTTAACTGTTTGTTAAGTGATGTTTTATTTTGTGTTTAAATCTTTGCCCCTATTGTTTTTTGCTTATTTGAAAAAAAAAAAAAAAAAAAAAAATATATAT